CATTATCATTCAGAAAATGTGAAGTAATCAGTTGCTTGCTTGAGATTAGTCTTATTTATTGTATATTACCGTCAAAACAGGTAACAATTTTGGCAATGGGGGGATTTGCCTAGACTTGAATTCTGAGAAGTCCCATTGGGAATGATGGTTAATATTGCTGATCATGTCAAACACTTGACATGAAAATCAATGGAAAAATCATCTAAATATGCATATGATATTGGCAGATATTACTAGTGATGTTTCACAAGTGAATTTAGAATCTGTAAAGCATTGTTTTAATTACTTCCATGAATAATGATTTTTAAAGTACAACTTTAAAAGGTTTTTCTATTTAAATAAAAAGCTATTGATGTGTTTTAGCATGTCCTCGAGATAGATTTCTGTATTTCTTATAATCTTAACCTCAGATCCCCATAAGACAGTATAAATTCAAGTTACCCTATAGTTCACCCATGAAAATTCCTTGACCTAAAAACTAGTGAAGGGACTGCAATGCAAAATGTAACATAATTGCCATAAAAGATTAAATGACTTATTACTGACTTTCGATGACCTCATCAAATGGGAATTATTAGTTAATTGAAAGTTTTGAAGTTAAGGAAATGGGAAAATTTTGTTAAACTAAGAGTTCCTCTGTGAATATTTTTAACTGAATATGGTTTCAGTTTGGTTAAAAGCCAGAATGTCTTGGAATATCATTTCTGTTAGAGCTGCACAATTGTGTCAAATGGAACTGGGTTTATTTACAGATAAGCGAGCATTTGAAAACATTAAGGGTTTATCTTCCCTCGGTATCATCAATGAATTATTGACATATTAAACATATGTACTAATATGTTTAAATGTCATACTTAGTAAAAATTGGGACCTCAAATATTTAATGGTTTTATTTTCTTCCAGTCCATAAATTCTATATGGGAAAATTGAGTTGCTTTGAAAAGTTGATTTAGTCAATCAAATATAAATAATTATTTATACTCTAAGGAATTTTTAGCTAATGTAACGCTTTTAAGTGAAAAGTTGTCGTACTACATTTTTTCCAACATAGAGGCTAGCATTTCATGATCATTACTCAAAGCAGCTTAACCATGTGGATTATTAATGTTTTTTAACATAAAAATAACTTTTTATGCCTTCCAGTAAATTTGGTAACGATTAAATCACACCTATTTCATTTTTTGACTTTTCCTTAACTGGACCTCACTTTCTACAACTATAAAGTGAAAAAAGGATTGTCCTAGAGTATGGCAATTCATAGTTGCAGAGTGAAGAAATTAAAAATTTGGAAATACCTTCTGTGCCCATTTTTCTAGAAAATTTTCATACTTTCAAATTATCAGCTTTCATTCTGTTGTAATCTTTAATTACATGCTTAAGAAGCATTGGCCTAAATGCTCTTTTATTTTAGTGCTAAATCACCTTAAGTGCTGGCTAGGCACCCACTTTTACTTATGCTATGCATCCAGAAAGGAAAGACTTAACTCTTTATATAAACAATTTTTTAAGGTTTAAATGCTACGTAAGAGCTATTTCTAATCAAATACCTAGGGAAGAGAAAGAATGAATACTTTTTAAGTTTATAAGATGTTTATATTTTGTCACTTAAAATTATAAAACTAAAGAACGTCAGCTTTTAAAACAATCTTTAAAAAAACAAAGTACATTAATTCCTTTTGTCTTAAGTCTGAGACTTTTCCTTTTAGGGTGTCTCTCTCAGTACCAAGTATTAATTCAGCCATTCTACATTTTCTAGGTAAAACTACACTCACATATAATGCCATGAATTATTTTCACAGAACTTTGTCTAATTTGTTATAATCGCATTCTGTGCTTCTGGTAATGGCATATACCAGTCTAATAATTTTCATTCATTCATTCTTTGTTTTTCTTTTCTTTTGCTTTTTGGTCAGTGTGTGTGCACTTGCCAGAAAAAGAGAGAGAAGACACTGCCTAATGGGGTAAACTCACACCATGGTCCTTTTCCCTCCATTTCTCCATCCCATCGGGATTTGGGGCACGTGTTTACATGTGCCTGGCATGTTTTTCAAGCCACTAGGATTTGAACTATAGTCAGCCTCGTGGTACCTGGCCCTCTATACACAGGGCTTAACCACAGCTCTAAGAGGTCAGCCCATTCTTACCTGTTGTTTAGGTTTTCAGTTGTTTTAAATGGTGGTCACATAAATTCTACCACGGCAGGGATCTGTCTGTTCCATTCACTGCTTTATATCTATCTCTATGGATCCAGGGCAGTGCCTGGCACACAGCAGACACTTAATGAATGAATGAATGTCAAATAAAAATTGATGTATGTGCTCATCCAGAATCCATGGTACCTACCATCATCTGTATTAAAGGGCTTGAAAAAGCATCACTGCAATAAATATACTAAACCACAAAAGCCACAGTTGCAATTTAAGTGCACCTAAATTAAGAACTAGTGACTGTACGTACCTTATTTGTTACTTAGAAGTGTCCAGAAGGTTGCTGGTTAGAACATGGAATTGAAATTCTAAGCTTAAAACTAATTTCAGGTTCCTTTCAGAGGCTAATCATGTTGGCAGGGCAGGCACTCAGTTTATTAGAGCTGACTTCCAGGTGAGATTGGAAATAGGATTTTGCTCCAGTTACCCATGTACTTTCCCCAGCCCTCTAGTTTGTCTCCCTGACTGAAGTAGGTGCTTTTTAAAATTTGCTAGAGGCTGTCAAAATTACTTTTGTAATTCTCAGTGTGATCTAGTTCAAGGCCATCTCTTTGTGACCAGTGATTCACTGTTAATTACCCTACATGTAAAATTGATGTTTATATTTCAGAGGATCTGGCTAATCCCTCCCACCTACCCAGTCTTAAACTATAAAACAGTGAGTAACTGGCTGTCAGGTTCAAGCTAAGTTATTTCTTGATGCTATGCTCCTATACTATCCTAAGAGTACCTAAATGTGGTATTTATAAACATTTTTTTGGTCCTGCTTGCAAACTTTTTTGGTAGGTGTTGGTCTTCTTGCCTACCTCTTCAACTGAACTGAGGACCTGTTCTGAAAGGTGAGTAATAAGGGAACAAGGTTTCTATTTTCTGTATTTGTAATTACCAGATTTTTTTGCTTGTTTATATATTGTTTTGATGTAAAGAACCTTATAGAACATTAGATCTTTTGTAAATAAATATAATTTATTAGAAAAAAAGTGGCATCTTTTAATAAGGTGGATTTGTGTCAACTTTTTCCTTTAAGCATCCCTCATTGTCAGAAGTTCTGTGCTGTGAATTGCTAGATGTCCACATTCTGCTTTCTTGGTATAATACCTGCTTTTCTTGATAAAAAGTGAGGCAAAAAAAAAAAAAAAATCAGGGCCAGCCAGGTGCCATGGTTAAGGCAAGTGGATCCCACATGGCTGACAGCAGAGTCTTGAAAAACATACCAGGCCTCTGTGAGTATGTGTCCAAAGTCCTGAGAGGAGAATGGAGGAGAAGGGATTAGGGTGATTGTCCCCTTGTTGGGGGGTGATTTCTCACACATACCCCGTGAGCATATGTGCCCCATAGTAAGTTAAAAGAAAAGGTGGGAGGAATAAAAGCACTTTATTCAATTTTGTTTCTAAAGATTTTTTTCCTTGGGAATAGGATATTAGTTTAAAAGAAATGTAAAACAAACTGATCCTTTTGTATGAACTATGCCAATACATTGATCTCTATAGACATATCTGACAAAATCTGAAACATGGATGTTAGTGGTTAGACTTATCAAATGTGAATTGTACAGTGAATATTAAGTGTCATATCTTTCAGTGTAAAATTGGTAATTCTTCAGAGAAATCCAGTGTGTTGAACTAAAGCAGAGTCAGTGGTGGATATCAAGCCTCATTCTGTGCTGAGCAAAGCGGAGTCAGGAGAGTCACTGGCCATTGCTGAACTTCAGTATTAGAGGGTGATGAGTGGTGGGCAAGGATACTGAATTTTGAGTCATTGGTGAACATATTTAGAATATGGATGCTCCTGGCATGTAACGCCCTAAACCTAGCCATATCTGCATCATCTAAACTTACTGCTGTAGTTCGGGCATCTACAATTCTGAACTTGCGGATATTAAAGGCCTTCAAGAACTTTCTTTTACCGTTAGGCACTTGTCCTGGCATAAAACTAATTGCAGAATAGAATTGTTCCTCCCTGTTATAAAGCTTTTAACTACATAGTATATAATTATGGTGCAGTGGGAAAATGCACTGACTGGGAACAAAGACCTCTTTGTACAGGCTTTTTTGACCTAGATTTGTGACCCTGGGCAAGTCACCTAGTTTTGTTCAGTTGGTTTCCTCATGTATAAAATAGTGTTAATACCTTACGGGCTTGTTGTAAGGCATATATAAGATTTTTACCTATAATCTGTAAACAGCCAAGTGTAACAAATGTAAAATATGCTATGGTAGTTGTGACTGAGTCATCTATTGTTAATAATTCTTTAAGTGACTATAATTTACACATCTTATTTTTTTTAAAGCCACTTGAAAGGTTTTTTCTAAAAAATAGACACTTTTTCTTGTTTCCATAAAAAAAAAAAATACTCTGTTACATATAAACTTTCCTAGTGACTTGGAGTTATCATTACAGAGTTCCGTATTTGTGTGCAATGGGACCAGATTGCTTGTGTGTACCGTGGCAACCAGTGTGTGGTTGGCGGGTGCAGGATTGCCTCTTTTCAGTACACACATAGCCCATTTGTATTTGTATGACACCCTAATTAAAAAAGCTGGCATCTCACTAAACACGAGTGCTGTTTCTCAGGAAGCTACAAGTTTGTAAGTACGATTTTAGAGATTTATTTTTAATCCTACATTCCATACATCAAGGGGCCAAGAGTTCATAAAGGAAGAGATTCTTCTGAAATTTACCATATTTGGATTCTGAGTTCAAATAGCAAGGAATAACTATTAATAGAAAATAAAATCTACATAAAAGTAATAGCACTCCCTAAATGTGCCATTGAAAGATCACATTACAGAATAGTAGTGTAAATAGTTTTATTTGCTCATATGCCATGAAAAGACCAGAAAAGTAACATGAATTGCTTTTATAAAACATTTCTAATATTGCTAAGAAGCAGGCCTATTAATAGACAAACAGAAAAGAACATGCCAACATTACTGTCTCATTTTTAGGTTAATAAATTGATGATTTTTTTATGACAGGTACAGCAGCATTGAGCTTTGAAAACAGCTGGTTTGTGGTAAAGGTCCAACTATTTGGGTTATAATCTTATGGGCAAATTGCTATTGAGCCAACAGAATGACAAAATCTTGGCATGTTCTTTTATAATAGTACACATTTATGGAAATGTGCCAGCAGGTGGCAGTTTTAAAGTAATCCTTTTGTAAATAGATATTCTAAAGTGAAATGTGGTAACTGATCCTAATCTGTCCTTGTAGTTAAATATATATATTAAAAAAAAACCTATAAGTTAAAATAACATTCAGATTGTATAGCATAGGCTGATGCATTTTTAAACAATATTTACAATATTACCCAGAGGCTTAGGTGGGAATTAAAGAGAAGTGTAAAAACCATAAAAAACTGCACCAATTTTATAGCAAAATATCTGTACATTTCAAAAGAGATCATATAACTACACATTATCCAAGGAAAAGGGACCTTCACCAAAGGGTTCACATAAGCACAACATAAAATAAGAAATTCAGTGGTTAAATACTATACAATAAACTTTACAATTAATATATTGATGTAATACCAAGAAGGTAAGCAAGAAGCAGAATGTATATTATAAAAGTACAAATTTAGCTTCAGTCCAGTTTTTGACTTTGGAATGGATCACGTGCCCTGCCAGAGAGGAAGGAAAAAGTAATTGTGGCTTCTTGGCCATTTCGTCTCATCTCATATGAATTAACCTTAATCCCAGTGTTAGTATTTCTCAGTAACTTAATTTAATTTCCCACAAGTAATCTGGGAAATAGAACACCAATTTAGCATTTTAACCATTTAGAAGATACATGATGCCAAACATATCTTCTTCTCCAATTTACAAAAGGGAAAAAGAACAAAAAAAACCCTGCGATTGTCCGAAGAGATTAAGGCCAAATTCCTAACAAATCTGCTAGTAGATGTAACCTTGAATGTTGTTGACAGAGCCAGTAAACTTCCTGGCTAGCAAGGCACCAATTTCTATTAGAATTGGCCCATAATGGGCCTCAGAAACCCTAATGCCTGTTACTGAGATGTTAATTTTAGTGCTGATTAATAAATACATTTATTTGCATTACTTCAAAAGCTGCCTCTAGCTGAAGAACACAGTACTGCAAATAAGTCTTACACAACATTTTATGCCATCATAGCTTTGCATTCCTACCAGTGAATGTCCCTCACAGGGCATTGTACCCTAGCACAGAAGCAGCAGAATGTGAAACTGGAGATGGTTGAGTGACTTCTGTGCCATTGCTATTGCATCCTTTTTTAATTTTGCTGGGGCTTGCTTATGGTTAAGAGGAGATTTTGTGTGACTTTTTCCTCTTTCTATGCTGCAAGTCCTTATAAATAGAAAGTGGATATGGCTGAAACAAAATTCTTTAAAAGACATCTCAGCAAAGGACATTCACAGCAGATGCACCCATGTTTACAACTGATCAGGAAACCAGGGTGGGCCATTGTGAGATGGCCACAGTGGCAGGCAATGAATTCAATATGAAAATTACATTTTGGTTAAAAAACTGAGTAACAGAGTGGTGTAAAAAGATACCTAATCAAATCAAATCCTATTGCTTTGATTAATCTGAGCAGGTACTTTCATTTTTAGGCACTTGTTAACAAGGGTTGAAAGGAAAACCCATCATTTAAAAATTCCTATGTGTTTGCTAATTCTGAGCCCTTAAGGATATATTTTCCTGTGTTCAAGGCTGCAGTTAAACGGTAGCACATAAAATCCACGTGGGCAGTTTCATGCACGCACACTACTTGTGCAGGCAGGTCTCAGGCTCACATCGTTATTTCGGCACCATTAACAGAACGTAAGTTCTGATCATCAAAGCGCCGCCTGACACTTCTCCTCACCGCATCGGCTCGTCTGTATGGTTGGTTTCTAAGATCTGTAAAGAAGAGAAGGCCAGTGAGAGAAGAGCAACCTTTAATGTCGTGTCTAAGCAAGACAAAGGCCAGCTGGCAGCCAATCAAAGCAGCTTGTGTAGAAAAGTCAACTAATAGGCCCTTCAATATTTACTATCAAAATAGGATATAATACTGGTAGGATTCTGGGAGATTAAGGAAAATAGAATATTTCTGTCACTAGCTGGCCAGTCTAGTTAAAGTCTTATTTTAAGTGTGTGTCTTCAACTAGAAGCACCTGTAGCCTAGGTTCTGTTGCTTTCTGTGGAGGCCTGAATATGAACAATAATTACAGTGAGTTTAAAACTGCAAATCTAATACACACTAAACTACTGTGTTCTATCTTATCCTTGAAATCTTCACTAGGAAGGAGACTGGCAACATGGCATGGTGGTTAAGGGTGCTGGACTCCCACATGGCTGACCGTGGTTCAAGTCCCAGACCTGGTGGCTTATTTTCTCACTTTCGCCCACTCACTCCCTCTCTGGTAAATTAAAAAGCTTTACTGATTAAAGTTCTGTTACTTTCATTCCATTCAGCTAGTTGAGGTTTTTTTGTTTTTTTTTTTTAATTTTTTGAATTTGAAATATGTTCAGTTATCCATTAAATGTAAATCAAAACATTCCATTCTCTGGACATTCTTTCCTGCCATCCAATATTTTCTGTGGTTTTAGCAGCAGGAAAAAATGGTATGGGCCTTCTTGCATTTCTCAGTTTGTATTGCTCGGACATAGGAGATGCCTGATATTTATGTACATACATACATCCGTCCATATATTCATAAAAAAGAAAACTTGTTGAATGAATCCATCACTGTATACTGGTTCAGACAGGCATTGCTATATTGGGATGAAGTGGGTTAATTTAGTGGGCACTCAGGATGAGGGCATATTTGGGTAAGGCAGGTAGACGCACAGGCAGCCTATTTTTGATGGGGTCTGGGATAGTGAAAAAAAATGTAGCAGGCTTTGTACTTTTTCCCTCTTGTTTTGCTTAATTAACGTACCCCTTTAATTAAATGATGAATATTGTTGCCTTGTGCTAGGCTAATAGTCTACCTTTAGAAACAAAGTACAAACAGAATTAAACCACATTCAATCTTTATAGCTCTTCAACTACTCAGTAAAATGAAAAACAGGGCTGCTGGGCCATATTTGGCCCACAGGATGTTTGTCCCACTGTATTCCCCTTATTTTTTAAATACATTTTTTCTGTATTTCAACTGGTAATTGACATAAAAAAGATTCTGGCTTCTCTGGAAAAACTAGGCCCTGGTTCCAACATGCCAAAAAACCAGCTGGAGCTGTACAGGTTGGCACAGTCCCCACTTGGCCTCTTACTCCCTGGCTCCTAACTCACTGTAATCTGATCCTTGCCGCTCCTAAATTCAAGGGAAAGGCAGTGTTTATGCTGTAGTTCTCTTGAGTTCCTACCTGCTACCTAAGGTTGATAAGTGAAAGGGCAAAATTCCACTTTTGGCTAAGGTTATACAGCTTTGTGCTTCAGTCCTCTGAAAAATTAGCTCTAAAGATTCTATAATTCTTCAAAGACTGTAGTAAACTATTTTCCCTGGCTAGGACCTGCTGTCAATCCCTTCAAGGTCAAAATGGGGTTAACTGAACAACCCAAAGGTCAAGAAGGGGGGTAAGGGAAGGCTAGCCGAGCACTCAAAGCAAGTACAATTATTAGTGAATACCCCTGCCCAAGCCATCACTTGAGGACATGGAAGCAGGCCAAGGAGGAGTCTCAACAGTGAGGCTCAGCCTCATGTTGCTGGAATGTGAAGTGCAAAGGCTTCTTCCTGGTCAGATTCTCACCAGTATTACCCTCAGCCACAGATTGAAACCATTGATCTGCATATAGAGAGAGGAGGAAGCTAAGTAAAAAGTGATGCTTGCCAGCTCTGTGTATCCTCCACCACCGGTGTGCTAGAAGAAATCCTTACCCTCGAGTGAACATTTGGAAATTTAGTGATATTATTCTTCTTTAAGGCTAAACAGAAAAACAAAAACACAAAATGATGGTTAAGTAAAAATGGGATGAATATGGAAAGCAACTCAACTTAGAGCTTAACATTCCCGGGCATGTTAGCCAACAGAGTGGGAGGCCTCTACTATGAGAAGAGTTAGATAAAACAAGGGGAGGGTGAGTGTCTTCCCACCCAGCTCTCTGACCACCCACTTTCCAAGCTGCTTTGAAGATTGGCTCCAGAAAGACAGTCCAGCAGCAAAACTGACAGCAAACATCATCCAAACATGACAGATTCTGTTAATAAGCATTGGTGAGTAAGTACACTGCAGAGCAGGCAATGACACTCTAGGTCCTTCCATATCTTCTGAGACAGAAGAACGCACATGACGTGTAATTTCTAGAATGGTTACGTGAGAGAACAAACACCCAGTTCCATGTCACTTTCAGCATGGGAGGCAGTCAATGGCTATTTCCAGGAAGTATGTGCTTCCCTTGTCTCTTTCATCAACTAGGCACTGGCGAGAAGTTTGTTCCTTATTAGGCATCAAGAACTGGGGCCAGGAAGTTACTTCTTAGGAAATTTTGATCATTTTTTAAATTCTAAGCACAGTGGCATTTTTCCAATGATAGGTATTTGTGATTAGTGTTTCTGATGTCACCATCCTGAACAAAAGAAGCAGTTCCAGATATGATTTCATCACAAAAGAAATACCCTAGATTAGACATGGAACAGGGCTACAAGTGAAGAGGCATTAATGAGGTAAGATGGTAGGAATCTCCTAAGCCTTTGTTTCACCTCTGCCTCAAAGCTTCATGGCAACATGAATCTCAGAGCTGAACTTGGGTGTGTCGCTCATGAAATGCAGGTGACCTACCCAGGGTAGGCTGCTGTGAGGCTGTGGGTTGCCTAGTTCGGCACATACAGGCTTCTGGGTTCAAAGGGTTCCCTGCATCAATGAACTCAAGCTATGAGTTCCAGCATACTGTAGACTATAGTTCAGAAATGTCCAACTGGGCCAGTCCCATGGTCTAGTGGTTAAGGAAGCCAGATGCTACATGTCCACTACATAGCCTAAATATTGGTCTCAGCAGCTTGTAAAAAATATGCCTCTGTGTGTGTGTGTGTGTGTGTGTGTGTGTGTGTGTGTACCACATGCATGAGCACACACCCAAAATCCCAACAGGGTGGAAAAATGGAAGAGAAAGGATTGTGGTGTGACCACGTTCCTTTGAGGGGTGCTTTCTTCCTTTCCCACTGTCCCCCTCTCTCTGGGGAGCACACCCTCTGACAAAATAAATGAGCAAATGTACAATTTATAAATGTGTGGACTTCATAGTTCCTTCTGTAAAACTTTATGGCTAGGGGCTGGCAGGTGGTGTGGTAGTAAAGGTGTTGGACTCCCACATGGCCAACCACAGTTCGAGTCCTGGACCTAGGGCTTGCTTTCTCACTGTTCTCTCTCTCACTCTTTGGTCACATTACAAAGAAAAAAAAAATAGTAATAATGAATTAAATAACTCTTAAACATTTTAGGCCAATTTGCTTTCCTGAGCACTTTTGTGTAACAGGTCATTTTACTATTAAAGCATGTTAATGGTACCAGAAAAAGGGCTGGTGGAATATCAGCAAACCTATTAGAGCACATTAAATGCTATGTTACATGTCTGTAGTAGTTATTTTTAAGGACTATCATTTCGTGTATTAGGCCACAAAACTTACAAGCACCCTACTTGGTACTACTTCTGATTCTTCAAGAAGTGTTCTATTTACTCTTTTTCTAAAAATTTCTGCAAACAAGTCAGTTGACACCATCACAGCAGTGTGATATATACGTGTATGTATTTGAAATGGCAAGGAGTGAACAGTAATGGTTGAATGCAAAACCATGCAACACAAGGACAAAACAGGAGGGAGATGGCGAGCCCATGCTACCATGTTGGTGGCCCTGACAGACACACAGAGGGGCACATACAAGGTCAAAAAACCTGTAGCAACCTTTTAAGAGCATCAGGTGAGAAAGAGTAATAGTTTAGTAATGGTATTCCTCAGTGAGAACAGGTTCGCAGAAAAACCGAGAGCCACGCTTGGCGGTACGAGCAGTAAAGGGCACAGTCTTCAGCACTGCATCAAAAATGACAGCCAAACAACACAAAGAGAAGAGAGTGAGAAGCCAAGATCTATTGCATTAGTACATAGTTAGTGCTTGGTTAATCATACTTGGGGATGGGGGTCAGAAAGGGGAAGGTAATATATCCTCATGTTAGTTCATGAAAGTCTAAAAGAGTTATCTGGGGCTTGTGGATAGGACAGAAAATAAAAACTATTCTGGGAATAAAAACTGCTCTATGAACAGATTAATTTACCTCCTCCGGAAGCTTAATAATTCAGGTAAGGGAAATAGAAAATATACATTCCATTCATTTTACAGAGCCAGGTGTCATTAGGATGGAGAACATACTGATGAAAAAGGAACTTCAAGTTCTTCATGTGCAAGGCTGGCTGTTTCCCTACCTGTATGTTCATCTTACTGTGGGGCTGAGATGAAGAGCTGCTTACCGAGAAAGGAGATCTGTTCCTGGTCATTTTCAGAGAACTGCTACCCCAGTGAAGGAGGCAAGGAGAGAGGCTAAATAATAGGGGTTTCTTCTGGGGAGCCATCTGCAAGCCACTGCACAATACACAGATACCAGCAGGCATGTGTGTGCAGAACATGCTGTGTGCAGAGAACAACCCTTTCACCACCTTTCTACTCAGGACTTAACACTACTTTAATATGGGCAAGAGATTCTTTATTGACTTCCTTTATAAAAAAATCTAACCTAGCTTATCTCTGTAGTTTTCACTACCTGTGTCTGAGCTAGTGAAAAAGATTTGTAGTTCTGGCATTCAAGGTCTCTATTTATAATGCTGATTAAACTATAACAAGAAAAAGAAGTCAAAAGCCTAGGAAATTATATCTTTACAAAATTAAGACAGTCCCAGCCATGTTGGCACGGGTGGTAGGGTACCACTCTGCCATGTTGGAGCCACATAGAAGACCATGGTTTGGATCCCGAGTTACCTGAAACACACCAGCCATGTGCACACACGCACCTATGATCCTGGCTGGTTGGAAGGCTGTGAGAAAGGGATGGCTGAGGCATGATGAGACCCTGTTGAGGGTCTTTGATGAAAGAAAAAAACTATTTTTTAAAGATTAGAACAACTGGAAAAATATGAAAAATGACTAGATATTGGATAATGGTATGAGTATTTTTTGAATAGTCCTTATCTTTTGAAGATACATATTGAAATATTTCTAAATGAAAATGAGGTATCTTGGATATGCTTCAAAATAATTGGGTATGGGGCATAGTGTACATAAAACGAGACTGGCCATGAGTGGATGACTATGAAATGAGTGAGGGGTACAGGAAGCTCATCATAATACTCTCCGTACTTTTGCATATTTTGACCATTTCCATAATAAAAAGCTGTATCTTAGAAGTGGAAAATAGTATGCATGTGCAACAGACATGTAAGAAAAATCATCTGCTGCCACTGCTACAGTGGCCTAAGCTGTCCTCTTGGTCTGTAAGGAAGTATTGAAATCTGGGAGGATTGGTGAGTAGAATGCCTTAAACTAGAATTTAATCAGACAAGAGCCAGTCTGAGTTAGGTACAATTCCTAGCTGATAGAACAATCTGTTCCCAACTGTGGGCTAGAAGCCATTGGCTCATCCAGATTAAAGTATTGGTCTCTTACTTTCTATTGACTTCAGTAACTCTGAATGAGTAAAGAGGATTTTGAAAAGCAGACTAGGGAGACCAGTGGATAGCCTGGACCAGTTATATCTCTGGACTCCCACATGACCGACTGCAGTTTCAGTCCTTGGACCCAGTGGCTTCAAAATCAGGCTAGGTATGTATGCCTGTGTGCCCAAGATCTCAGGAAGAGAATGGAGAAGGGATTGCGGCATGGCCATCCCCCCTTGGGGGAGAGGGGGGATTTCTTACTTTCTCTTTCACTGTCTCTATCTTTCTTTCTCTCTCCTTGGAAAGTACATGTGCCCTAAGGCAAAACCCTCTTTAAAGAAATAAAAAATAAAAATAAGTCTAGAAAAGCCTCATAGAATGTGGTTGGTATAAAGCTGAATAGGTCTTATCCACAGTATTTTTTTAATCAAGAGGTGGGTAGGAGTGGCCATTTGGAAGAAAATGAAGCATGATGGCAAACTGTAATAAATGGACAACCTATAGGAGAAGGAGCCCTGGTGGAACTTACAGGTTTCCCATGACTCAGAAATGAGGAAGATTTTTCAGTTTTGTGCTTTGGGCAGTATGATGAAATTATAAATTGCTTCAGACCTTAGCAATTTAGCTAAGGAATGTCTCTGCATGATTCTGAACCTGAATAGTTAACTAAAGAACTTGTCAAGCCTGGGCAAAATAAATTGCAAAATCTGCGTGTGACCCACTCTGGGTGAGGCCCGCAGGGTTGCCATGGGCCACAGTGAGTGGGTATGTTTTACCTGTGATAATATCTTCAATGGCACCGTCTTTTCCCTCATACACATGTCTGTTATCTTTGACTTGTCGCCTTCTTAGTTCTGCAATTAACTCTTGTTGCTGTCTCTTTGATTTATGGGAAGGAGACTGAGAAGAAAGAAGAGCAGAGATTAGGGGGCCAGAACCCACTGTGAAGTTTGAGAAAGTCCAAAATGTGCCAAAGAACTGTGCTACTAATCAGCGGCCTCAGCCACAAACACACATAGACAATCCCAACACTGAATGCCAAAAAACTCAGAGACCTTCTGGGAAGAAAACAGGAATTTCCAGTGACAAACACAAAATTTCACTTGGCAGCAATGGGAAGGCTGAATCCTCTGACAATGAGAGGAATCTGAAAGTGAGCACAGACTCCCTCAATTGAGGCAAAGGATGCCGTGCAAAGAGCTTCCATGTGCCAGCCTTTCCACCTCTACCTGACCTTCCCCACCCCCAATGCTTCCCATTCCTCTCAGTGACTCCCTCCAGCTATTGAGGTCCACACCATGGACACCCACTAGTAGCCTACCCTAGACACTAGGCCCTGTGGCTTTCAAGTCACCTGGAGTGACCTCTGTGTATCTAAGAGTTAATTTCCAGGTCATTTGAAACTTGGAAATGCTATGCAAACATGCTCTTAGTCTCATTCCAGTGGCTGCTAAACAAGGTAACGCATGAACAAATTTCCATGTGCCAAATTTCCAAGCCCTAGAAGGAAGTGTTAAGGATCTCTTGCCCCTCCCTACAACTCACCAGAGGAGCCATGAAGGCCCCTCCTCACATGGCACATCTCACAAACCTGGCACTTCTCACCTTTGGATCCTGCTGCTCCATGAGGGCCTCTTGCTCCAGGAGTTTCTCCATGAGAGCTTGCTCCTGCTTTTTCCTCAGCTCATTTTCCTCTTCTGCTTGCTGGGTAAATCAAAAGAAACAAAAAGATCTTGTCAATAGAAATGACAGTAGTCAAGATTTTCAAAAGTCATTCTTCAAAGAATTCTAAGGAGTCAGGAATTAGAGTAAATGGAAGGTTCAGAAGATCATCACTTTATGTCCATACTTAACTCAACCTCTGGGTTTCTCTGTCCATCACATCTCTTCAAAAGCTGGTAGTGAAGTTTACCTCATCTGGACATCCTTTCCTGCTTCCTCCTCTTAGTCCCACATACCTGCTGGGCGCCTACCGTTTGGCAGCTGGGCTCTGTGCTATTCATGTGAGTTTGTTTTGCTTCCAGAACTTGTTGTGTAGTTCTCTGAAAGCTCCTCACAGAAGAGCCTGAAGAACACATCTAAGATGCCACTGCTTTTTGTCCATTTTGGGTAAAGCACCTCCATTCATTTGGTCTCTTGTTCTCTTTTTTAGAGGCCTCAGCAGAGTGATGCTCGTGGACTCTCCACAGCTCACTCTCTCCCCCAAGGGAGGGAGAATGACTAGCCTGATGCATTTGAGAGAAGAAACTGCATAGGCTCAGCAGGTCAGCCCCCTTGGGTGCTGTCTTTCTTGAGGCCAGCTCCAATCAGACTTCTGATTGCCGAGCTATGAATCCCTGGCTAGGCCATCTGTTTAATTTAGGGATGAAGTCTAAGGTCACAGGTACTGTATTCTCTAGCCCAGCTTTTATCTTGAAGCTTACATTGTGATCTCTGTTGCTTTTCTATTAATTTTCCCTTGATTCATACTTGGGAAAAGAAAGATGACCTCCTAAAACCCAAACCTGCTCACAAAGTCCTTCGTCAATGCTAAGCTGGGAGGTTATTCATCACATGTAGGGCAAGGAAAACATCCATCCCATAACAGTGCTGCCCAAGTAAGATTACAGGTGAAATTATTAGCAAGGAGGAGCATACCGTGGGTGAGCAGGCGAGGACCCATTGCCCACCAAGGGCACTTTCTCCTTCCCTCTGCCCCATGCATGTCCCTGCTAAACCTCAGCTTTGAGACTGATCCCAACCCACTCTCTACCTTGTCTTTCACAATTTTAAAATCACCCCTATTGTCTCTTTTGGCTTTAAAGCTTCTATGTGAAGAAATGTGGTCACAGCACATCAGAAGGGCCACCTGGGCCAGCAGAGCATGGCAGTTGGCAGATGGTGGCCTTCTGGTTGCTCGCAGCACCTTGCATGTGGAGTTTGGGAGGGAGTTGGTGCTACTGTGTTCATCCTCACTGGCAAAACACTTTCCTTCTGCAAAGAGCCTGTGATATCACTGCCCCCCATGAAGCTGTGCTGAGAAGATGGTTTAAGAACCTTTTGAATTTCAGTATAAGGCCTCAGGTGATTCTCCAAAGCCTTTAGCCCTTAGTGGCATTGGAGAAGGGACTTCGCTCAACAGTGTAGGCAGCCCTGCTGCATCCTCCCTCCACTACTGCTCCCAATGCTCCTCACAGACGAGCCTGGAGAACACAGACTGCAGCATCTCCTAAGTGAGCTATATGCTCTAACACCCTCCTTGTCATTCCCTCTCAGAGGAGAAACTCTTTCTTGGGTCATATGCATTTTCAGAAAAAGGCCATAGTTAGTGCTGGGATATGTCAAAGAGGGCCTGCCACTTAAAGGAAGAGGCATTACTAATCCAGATAAGGAAAGAGAGTGACTGCCCTTAACAGCACCATTCTTCCGTCCATTCTAGAGAAATGTCATCTAAAGGTCTTCAGGTCTGGGCCAGGACTAACACAGCAGGCTCTCCCTGACCTCAACAGAGCACATGCCTTTGCCCCAGTTCATGGTCCACTTATTTACACATTAAGCAACTATAAAGGGGGCCTGGATTTTCTAAGTCTTTCACCTTTCCTGCCTGGGCCAATGGTGAACAGGGACTTGGAACAACTCACTTCCTCAAAGGGATAGTCAAGAACTTCTGTTTTCTGATGAAGGCCCAGGATAGGCTCTGGGGATGAAGGGACCACCATGGCCTGAGGGCTCTAAGAAGAGTTCTTAGCCTCCAGCGTGAGCTCTGGAGGCTGAGCCTCCTCTTCTCACTGACAACCCAGATCTGCTGCCCAAAGGAGGCCTCTGATAGCAGCTGAGACTTGCACACATCTCGAGCAATACACCTGCTTCAAAAATAACAAGGAAAGCTTTGAAAGCTACGTCTCCCTGTTTACCTTATAGGCTTTCACAAACCGGACAAAGACTGGAAAGAACACAGACGGTGGTGTTGTCTTGGGGTTTTCACCGAAATACTTGACCACATCATCAAAGGCGTCCTGTGAAGAAGTAAATTTCTCTTGAAACTCATTAATTCCAACATTTAAAGTTGATGCTTGAGGGGAAAAGCTGAGGCAACGAGACCATGGCTCCCATAGCTTCATGCTCTCTGGCCTGCCTCACCTCCCACGATTCTGCACAGCCTTCACATCTCCAAATGTCGTATCAAAAGCAACCAAAAGAATATAAAAGTGGGACACAGAAATTCATCTCTAGGACCTCCTGCCTCTTCTATACACCCTCCCCCACACATCCCCCACCTGAGATAAGGAAACATTTCTTTCAAGAGTTCCCTAAGGTCATGGCAGAACCCCAACACGGTTGGGAGCCAGGTATGGTACAGCTGTAACACAACTGGACACATATGGGAAAGATACTGGGTTCATATCCCAGAACCTCCCTGAGCCTGCTGAGTAAATGGGTGTATGCCTATGATCCAGGCCAGCTGAGGCTGGGTGGCTGGCAGCATGAACACTGTTAGAAGTGCTTGTCTGTCTCTCACAGGAGAAATAAATGGATAAACATTGAAAAGGAAAAAAAAATAAAAAAAAATAATAAACCTAAAAAAGCAAGGTCAGAAGGGATCTCGGAAGTCATCCTGACTTCAAATACCAATTCCTAGCATCTTATGGTATCTCCACATGGGGACCAGCAGGTGGCGTGGTGGTTAAGGCGTGGGACACTCCCACATGGCTGACCATAGTTCGAGTCTCGGACCTGGTGCTTGCCATCTCACTTTCTCTCTCTCTCTCTCTCTCTCTCTCTCTCTGTGTGTGTGTGTGTGTGTGTGTGTGTCTATCTGTCTGGTCAAATTAAAATAAATTAATGAATAAATAAATTTAAATAAATCATTCTTTTTAAAAAATTAAGAAAAAAAAATGACATCCCTGTATCAGAGACACTCAATTTCTATATGAACTCTTCTGGGCAAAACAGCTCCAACTGGAGCCCATTCCACTACAGTCTGCTCTCTGAGTTTCCCCAGCACTTTACCCTCATTTCCATGACGTGGTGCAGGTCATTCTTTTCTGCAGGGCTGCCCATATTCTAGTGACCCTCAGTGTAGTCTAAGGCTTTGGGGTCATGATCTACTGAAAACCAATACCCTAGAATGTTGATTTATTGGCTACGGAACTGACATGTGTCAGCAGAACTGAATACAGGCCTTGCATGGATGGAATGCAGGAGTGAAGGACAGGGCAAGAGCAGGGAAGACCTCCACAGAAGAGGGTAAAGAGAAAAAGATCCCAAGTTAGAAAAGGACAATGAGCAGGATGGTGTGCTTCTAATAACAACGAGAAAACTACCCTTGTACCAGTCACTGGCTGCACCAGAAATCTACCCTCCCTGAGCAGAGGGAAATGGAACATTTCTCCTCTAACCCCAAAGCCCAAGCCACAAGTAGCTGGAGGGAACCTATCTCTTCTTCACAATGTTGAGGGGCACGAATACTAACCTGTGCAATCTTGGCATCGTCCTGCAGCTTTTTCAGTTTTCCCTCGTTGTTAAGGATGAACTCCTTCAGCAGCGTGTTGTGGTCATGCATGGTGTACTCCCTCTTGGTCAAGTCCATGCCCCTCTGGAGCTCCTTGACATCCAGCAAAACATTCTCAAGGGACACTGAAGTACAGAAAGCAATTCCCATTGAACCGCAACCAGAAATGTCAAAGCCACAGTGAGTCTGACTGGCAAGCCAGTCCTCACTAGATTCTGAAACTTAACTCAAGGGCGGTAGATCTAGTTTCTCATCTTCGACAGAGAGATCCTTAAATATGAACAATTTTTAAAGTGCTCACTGTCAAATACTACACGAAATTCTTCGTGTGCACTACTAACTCACTTGCACCATGAGCCCATTTGGCTGACAGAAAAAGCAGCATGAAGAGGTTACACAGCCTGCCCTGGGTCACGCAGCTGACAGATGGTGGAAGAATTTAGGTAACAAGCATGGGTCACAATGTGCTGCTGACAGCTACTTCATCTTCTCTCACAGGGGAAAACCTACTGGAAGGTCTGTGAGCACAGAGATCCTTATCCATGACAGGCCTAACATGAATCCTTTCCCTGACACTTTTAACTCTGCTGCATTTCTGAGGCTCTCCATGAGGGGGCAACATTTTATCTGCTGAAC